AAACAGTATGTACTGTACACAGGTTTAGCACTGATATTGATTATACAGTATTATATGTACAGTATACAGCAGACAGACCACATGGCAGCAAGTCTCATGACAATCACAAATACGTGTGTGAAAGTGTTTCTTCATTTTCGGGTCACCCTACCTCAGCCAGTGACAGCTGGTGTGTTTTAAAATATATACATGTGTATGTGTTATACATACATATATATATATATATATATATATATATATATATATTATATATAATATATATATATATATATATATATATATATTATTAATATATATACTACATGTATATTCTTTCCGTCCCACCAAGGCAGGGTGCCCCCCCCCCCCCCAAAAAAAAAAAAGTTTCTCGTTTTAAATTTAGTAATTTATACAGGAGAAGGGGTTACTAGCCCCTTGCTCCCGGCATTTTAGTCGCCTCTTACGACACGCATGGCTTACGGTGGAAGAATTTTGTTCGACTTCCCCATAGAAATAAGAAATAAACAAGAACTAGCAAAAAAAATAAAAGAAAACCCAGAGGGGTGTGAATATATATGCTTGTACATGCATGTGTAGTTTATCCTAAGTGTAAGTAGAAGTAGCAAGATGTACCTGAAATCTTGCACGTTTATGAGACAGGAAAAAGACACTAGCAATCCTACCATCATGTAAAACAAGTACAGGCTTTAGTTTTACACTCATTTGGCAGGACGGTAGTACCTCCCTGGGTGGTTGGTCTACCAACCTATTACCTACACTACACACTACTACTACTACTACACACACACACACACAACAAACCAGCTGTATCTCACCGAGGCAGGGTGGCCTAAAAAGAAAAATGAAAGTTTTTTCATTTTAAATTAAATAATTTATACAGGAAAAGGGGTTACTAGCCACTTGCTCCCGGCATTTTAGTAGCCTCTTACGACATGCATGGCTTACAAAGGGAGAATTCTACACACACACATATAAGCTAGTGTGATGCCAGATATGGTTCTGACCATATCTGAGAGGAATTGGCTCTCACTGTGCTACCTTACTCCGAGAAAACCTTCATTCCACCTGTTGCTAATCTTGCAACATTGCATAGCTCCTGATGATGCACAGAGACATGTGAAAGTGAGTTGAGGATTTCCATCCCCCATGCTTCGTCTTGCATTGTTAGGCTCGCCTGTCTATGACTAAACTACTAGGGGATGAAATTAGTTCTAGGTCTGTTGCACTGTTGCCAGTGCTTTGTCAGGTATTACACAATGTTGCATTAGGTAGATGGAGTGGAAAATTCTCAAGAGGTAAGTACACCGTCTACTCACCTCTGAAAATTTTCTGCTCCATTTACATAGCTGCTGATGAAGTACTGTCAACAGTGAGTCAATTGCAAACTAAGCAAAAAAAAAAAATGCAAATAAGCCACTAAGACTGGAAAAAGTAGCTCTAAGCCT